ACCCAGCACTGTGCCAGCTACTAGGAAGAAAATTAACTCTATCCCAGCCGAAACCAGGACATATGTGTGTGTATGTGTGTATATATATATATATATCTTTAAACAGAATCCACTGTACAATTTCAATAGAATGGTTTGAAGTTTTACAGGTGCTTCACAAGGAAATGGAGATGCTCTTTTTAAAGCAGTGGTGGGTGATGTTTCATACTGAGGACAAGAGTGAATTGAGAATAAAAGAAATCAGAGTAAGTACAATTTCAATAGAATGGTTTGAAGTTTTACAGGTGCTTCACAAGGAAATGGAGATGCTCTTTTTAAAGCAGTGGTGGGTGATGTTTCATACTGAGGACAAGAGTGAATTGAGAATAAAAGAAATCAGAGTAATAATTTCATCGAAAGATGTAATTGAGAAGTACCCTACGTAGCCTGTGAGCATTCCAAAGAGTTGGCATTGCCTCTGTTTCTTAATGAAGCTGTTTGCCACCTAAGCCAAAAGGACTATCAAGAATAACAATGAAACAGGACACTGAAATATTAATTAACTAGTTATAGTGACAATAAATCAGGAGCTGCAGCTTTTGTCTTTTGGTGAGTGGCTCTGTCTCAGTAGTGTCCATGAGGAAAAGAAATAAAGAGAGTGTTCAGGCAAGAGTTGCTTAGAAAAATGATGGAGGACTTAGAGCGAGCCATTCAGTTTTCATAACTGGGTTCTCCTTCTTGCTATTCATTTGTGGGTATGAACTTGCAGCATGTCTGTGTGAGCATGTTTTAGGCAGACAGGGTTACCAGAGAGGTTGAGATGTGTGTCTCTGCCCTTATCTTTTCAATAGTCAGATACTGATGCTGAGCTCAAGAAAACTGAGTCATGCTCAAGAAAACTGAGTCATGCTGAGTCCCTCAATGAAGAGGGACCGCAGGGGGCACTGATCTATCTGCACCTGCCCTCCTCTACGCCTGTCAGCCCTGTGCAGATGAACACCGGGCTGCCCGAGTAATCCTGAAGACCAGAGATAACAGTTTTAATCATAGTGGTCAAGTGAGCAGCCAGGATTAAGTACTGTAGTTCCATTTAATTAATGACAAGTGTATTTTGATGTATTTTAGGAAAGCTGTCAGTTTGCCACTGTGGAGTGAAATGCTAGCTGGGTACCAAGCTGAATTATAAGGTTTACCTCCTGGCTTGGCTTCCTCCTGGAAGTTTTACAGCTTCCAGCTGTCATAAAGCACATTAAACAGGAACTCTAAAAGCAATTTTACTTTATTTACGATTACAAAAAAGGTCTGGTTATAATGGGAAACCTGAAGTATTTAAAGACAGCAACAGGCAGCATGAACATGACTCCTGCCTACCACTTCCCCTTCAGAGAACAAGTAGTTGTTTCACAGAGAATTAATATTCAGATCAGGTTCAGTTCACCCTACCTGCTGGGTTCATTTTATAGTATAATAAAATCTGATTTATTCTCATTTGGATCTAGATTATATAGTCATATAAGCATAAGCCATTTATAAACAGTTACTTTCCAAGTAGCATAATATAATACCTACTCCCTTAGGTATTTCTGAGGAACACCAAATGTTACTTGCCAAAGGGCAGAGGTAAAAAGTGTTGTTTTGGATCTGAACATCGTGCCTGGAGCTAATCACTAGTTATGCTGATACCTTTTCAGTTCTTCATTTAAAAAAAAAGCAGACTAGTATGCTTCCTCAGTGAACTTTTCTAAGCCTGGTAAACCTAACTCTCTCTTTATATTTTACTTACAGAATGGTCTTATTGTTGCCTGTTACCAAGGTTATGTGGATATTGTAATAGCCTTAGCACAATGCCCTCACCTTGATGTGAACTGGCAGGACAATGAAGGGAACACGGCTCTAATTACAGCTGCACAGGCAGGTAAGGCTCTTTGTTTCACTTCTTACATACAGGGTCCTAGGAGGAATGTGTGTTGTGGCTATTATTTTTAGGATTTTGTCAAAGCCCTAAAAGAAATTAGTCTGCATAAAATAATCCTGGCCAAGCCCACTCCCAAATAAGTTTGTCATGATTTTCTTTGAACTAATTAATCTACAGTAATATTTATCCAATGGATTAAGACAGAAAAAGCTATACATTTCTAGTAGATGCCATTAACTGTTTTAACTTAAAAATAAAGAAGATCTTGCCCCAAGTGTGCAGTACTATACTACTTTGTTCCTTTAAGCTCATTTTCCTATGTTTGCTCTGGCAAGCAACCAGTCAACATTGTGGTCATATAATGTGCTGTATCAGTGCTCGTAACATCTCTTTTCTCATGCTTGTTGCACCTACCTCAGTGGGTCTGTAGTAATTGCTGACTGTAAGAAAATGTATCATCGTTAAGAAACATCTTAGCTGCTAAGACATTCTTCACTCACTCCATAGTTAAAAGCAAAAAACCCCTATTTATATAGTCTCAGCACGATTCAGTGTTTGCCAATGCTGCTTTTATAACAGACTGATTATATTGACATCGACCATGTTAATCCTGATGCAGACTGGAGTGAGAGCAGAGTTTATCCCCAGGTTTTCTTTTGTCTCACCCAGCATGGTAATATTCAGTGAACAAGTGTAACAGATCACATAAATGTAAGAGATGCTCCCAAAAGAGTTACTACTTTCAAGTGTACGGTTAAACAGCAATCGGTCGATCATTTCTGTTAAAACTGTAACACTGTCCTTTAACCTTTATGGGAAGCTGTAGTTTTCTCTTACAAGTGTTAACAAAATGCTGAAGCATGTGCATCAGGAAAAATTTGACTAAGGGGGCCACCCCTTTGTGGTCTAAAAGCTGTTCCAAGGGCTGCCTGGCTCTGCATCCATGGTTTCCTTTGCATCCTCAAGCGTGCTCCTCAAAGGCAATCACTTTATGAGGAAATGCCTACTTGGTCTTTATCATGTCTTCTTACTGATGAAGAATATGGGAAGTTTGTGGGAGTTCATGGGACGTAGTATTCCCTCCCAGACCCTGTCTGTTCTTCTCTGGCTGGATGGAGGAAACAAGTTTCCATCAGGCAGCATCAATGGACATCCTGTGTCCACTTCAGCCATGTCTGAAGATTGGAGCAGTTAGATTTTTATTTTAATTGAGTAATATTGCCACTAGACATTTCCAGGTAATACCAAACTTTGCTTTGTGTTGTACCAAAAAGTGAACTCTGCTAAAGAAGCCACTCTGAGATAGGTCTTGAATATTGGAAGAAAGAATTGGGACCAGAGTTGTCACTTTCATAGCAAAATCACGAGTATAGCAGCTTTCCAAAGAAAGTGGAGAAGTCTCCAAAATTCTAACCTACTTTATTTATCTGCCCTAATACAAATTTGGACTACAAAAGGTTTAACTTTAACACTGACTCCTTCCCGACCTTTATAACTCATGATAATGAGCTCAGAATTAATCCAGAGGGCTGACATTGACTTGACACTCTCTGCCAGTACTTGCTATTGATCCCCAAAGCAACTGGAAACAACTGTAGTCAGCAGAAGCTTATACAAACTCCTAACAACTTGGATGTTTTCCCCTGCCTATGATAATCCTGAGCTACAGTGTTGACACCAGTTATTTAATTCTTTATCACAAGATACTGCTGTAGTGTTAATAGAGATTACCGTGAGGTTAACACTGCAACCAGAGGAGCTACAGTGCAATAGATGCTGCTTAATTATCGCTGAATGTTAAGTAGTAAGACTGAGCAGTGTATTATAAAGAACTGAAAGCAAAGCTTATGTGAGCTTTCCTTTAGTGGAGGATTTATTTGGGTTTTTTTTACCCTTAGGCCATGGAAATAATAATATTTTTTGCAAAATAAATTATTCCGAGAGATCGCTGTTATGTATATCAAAAGTATTGTTTACCTAATAGCAAATCCACATGATTTCAATTGATTGTAAGGTGATATCAGAAGGTTTCAGAAAGCCCTGCCATTTCTGTTATGACCCACTGACCAGGCGAGCCATCACGTATGGCCAGACCCTGAAGAGGAGCTGGATGGGAAAGAGGCTGCAGTCCTGAGGGATCATTCCATGTGTTTCAGAAGCTGCATCTGTAACGCTCGGTACAGGTACTAAGGAAGATGATAGGGAGGCCTCTTTACTTTTGCTAGAGGAGTTTAAAATCCACACTTGCTTATGCCATTTCATGACTGCCCAGACATGATGCTCAAATCTGAGCGTCAGCTTGATTTAAATAGAATTATTTTAAAGACCAGCTAGAGTCTCAGAACAGAAGTGAATTCAGTTCCTCATATCCATTTGCTTTTGATAATTTAAGATCCTCATCTTAAAGTATCTAAAGCTGAAGTTTTTCTGCATGGGCTGACCTGAGAAAGATAGGCTGGAGGGATCAGTGAAAACCAGTACTTTATTAATAAGCTTATTGGTATAGAAAATAACTGCAAAGTGCTCTGCTTAGTGTGTAAATTTCAGGTTTGAAAATTGGTCTGTTCACTTGCTCTCTCAATATTTCTTACAGATGTGGGATCCCTTCTCAAAGAGATCTTGCCTTTCAAAACTGTAAATTTGTTGCAGCCTGCAGCAGGTGGTGCCCAGAAATGGGTGGCGATGCTGTTAAAACAGAAGCAAAATCATTAAACATCAGTACAAGGACAATGCAGAAAAAATGGGAGATAGATTGATGCAAACAAGAGATTGAAATAACAAGTGGAAAGAAAGGAAGGAAGGAGAGGAGTTTCAAAAAAAGGGAAAAGGGAGGAAAATTACATTAAATTTTTTTTCTCAGTTCTGCTGCTGCTGAGGACATAGCTACGTCAGTGGCAGCATACGGTAATTGGCATACACTGGTGTTTAGAAAGGGTCATAGTTGCTCACAAAGTATAGATGTTTTATGTTACAGGGACCAGTTTGGGGCAAGGCTGTAGAACTAGGAACACAAAATGACAAGTTATCCCAGTTTCTGCTTATTAAGGGAGGCACGAGAACACAATCACCTAAAGCATCCAGAGGATAAATGGTTCTGGGTGTCTGGTTCCACCCATCCGTCAGAAAGCATTCACCACCCATAGACCAAACACAGGCTTTTTGCAGGTACAATTTGCAATTGTGATGTTATATGACAGAGCATCTTCCTTACAATGCAGCTTATCCTTCTGCCTGCATTACATAGATTATTAGGTAATATTGTCATCATTATATGCATTTCCTCTGTGGCAGCGATTAAGTGAATTAAGCTCCTGCAGACATCTGTGCTGATCTCTAAATATGGCTCACAAAGTGAAGAAGTGTATCCTTAGCATGCCAGTTCTGCTAGAAGATAGATCTGGCTTACAAACAGCAAGAGCCTGATACAAATTCAGTATGACCAAACTGGCTGAGGCCAGGTTAATTTATTTTAGCACTGCATACAGCTTTCATAGCAGACTTTAAATCACGGAAGACTCACCTGGTTTATGATTTAGAGACATGCTTTTAGTTTGCCCAGATGTAGGAGAACTGAAGCAAACTTTATGGCCTTAAATCAAAAACATATGACAGAGTTTGAACAAAAACTTGGCAGCTCTGAGTTTTGCTTTGAATTTGGTATCTGTTTGAACTTGAAATCTGATGCAAACCTCAGAGGACAGAAGCTCCTGCAGATTAAAACTGAAGTGGTTTGCAGGAATCCCTGAGACTCAAAACTTCTGAGAATCACAAACCTCTTCACTTTCTTTGTTATTTTATTGCTGTTTTTTTTCTGTCTCACTTGAGGCCATCTGTAGTCCCCTGAAGAGTTTTGGCTGAGCGAGGTCTTTCAGGATTGACTCTTAGGATCATCCCAGATTTGCAAAACGTCTCTTACATCAGCTATACTTTTGGCAAAGTAAAGAACATCTTTAGTAATGTAATAAATGCTGAAAAATCTTCCATCTTATTATTTCTCCTTGTTTCAGTCCTGTCTCTGGTTTCTGTGGTCAAAAAGCAGTATTTCAGCTGTTCCAAAGCCTTCATGAAGACACACACTGTATATCGGTGAAACAGAGCATGTCCTGCAAAACAATCTGGGGACGAAGATTCTCCCAGTAGTAACTGATACCCTGTTAGGATTTGATCTTATGCCACAAAGTCAGTGAAGCTGAAGCCTCTGTATTGAGTAAGCAGGACCAGGTCACTTGATCCTGCCCTGAACCCAGTTCACTTTCGCTTTGTTCAGTTTGCTGCGGTTTGCTGTACCTTTATACTTCATTTGCATCAGACTGTGCAAGGTTCAGGGAGCTCCTTATTTGGTTTCCTCTGGCGTTGCTAAGCTGATGTGCACTATCTCTACATCTGCTCAGGTTTCAGGAGAGTTTCCAGTTATGCAGCAAGATAGCAGAGTCCAGCAAATTCTAGGAAATGAAGAGTAACACCTAGAAAACATATTAAATTAATTGGTAAAGATTTTCTGAACTTGCTTTCCAAAGTGAATGCATGACTGTGTCGGTACAAAGCAACTGCTGATGAAATCTGCACCAGATGTGACACTATAGACTTTAAAAATTGTCCTGTATGACTTATAAACTGCTTCAGTAACATGTCTAGATGAATTTGAATGACACGCATCACAGAATATTCAGCTGGACTGCAGAGTGAGATGAGAGAATATTTTTACATCTCCTAGTAATTAAATTGTAATTGTTGCAGCTGCCTGACAGACTGCATTATTTTACAAAGCATCAAAGCATCATAAAATGAATGACAAGTGAAGGGAAAACTGTTTTGAATGAGTCATAATGGCACTAGATACTCGTCTTGTTCCGATAGTCTAATTACAAAGACTTGATGTTTTAATTGGTCTTCCAATCATTTAGCCAGAGATGTCTTCAACTACTCAGTACACCCTTGCTGACACCAGTTATCCTGGCGCACAAGGCACATGAATGGCAACAACAGTTGCTTTCAGAAAGAGAGCTCAAGTCATTTATTTTACTAACAAAACTGAACATCAGCCCCATTTTCCTATTGCTGGAGAGCAGACAAGTGGCTTTACACTCTCAGATGGAAAAATAAAAATGTGGGATTCTACACAAAATATTTCTTTTTCTCGTATCAGGCCTGGCACGGCTTGTTACTATTATTGGCTGGAACTACCAAATGTAGTCACTTTTTAATGAAGCACCACTATAGTAAGGCTCAAATTTACCAGGGGAGTGAAAAACCTGAACCTTTGCAGTCATTTCCTCCAGGTGATGGGTCTTCCTTCCATAAGCTGTAGGAATTCCCTTTGCAGTGCTACTCACCGAGTCAAGAAACTAAGGCCCCTCACAACCTCAGAGTGACCATCTCTGGTTTTCAATTACTCCCTTACCTTAAATTGACTTTTCAGAGAGGAGGGCAACTTGAGAGAAGGTGGGAACCCAGGTTTCCAGGCTTCTAGCCCAACACTCTGGTCACAAGTCGGTGCTACTTAACCCTAAGGCTAATGACTGCAATGAGCAGAAGAGGATACGAAGAAAAGAGATCTTCTTAGCTATCTGCATTTTTCCAGTTATCAAACCTGCAGGAGTAATTTTTGGTTTAATCTTCAGACAGTGCCTTAATTCTGTGACATATTTTCTCTGCTTTTTCATTTCTTTAAAGGGCACATAACCATTACAAACTATTTGTTGAACTATTTTCCCGGGCTTGATATTGAGAAGACGAATGTGTTCGGATTCACAGCACTGATGAAATCTGCGATTCAGGGCCGAACTGAATGCGTGAAAGCCTTGATGTTGGCAGGTATGCAAAGTGCTTTGCTGCTTCTTCGTCATCATCTACCTGTAAATACTAGACAGTCACACGCAAACACCAAGAACAAAATTGGCTCTTGGGGTGTTTACTCTGAAAGGTATGGTACAGCCTCCCCTGGAAACGGGTGCAGCTTTTAAATAAGTCATAGACAAGGCGGTGAAGCCATGTGCTGCAGGCGCAGGAGCACTCAGTTTGCGTGTGGAAACTCATCCAGGATCTCTCCAAGAGCTCTCATGGTAAGACTCATTGTCTCCAGGATAGTTCAGGAAGTGTGATCACCAAGATTTGTAGACAAGGAGTTAATGAAGTTCATGACACAGCTGGGAAAGGCACGCAGGTCTCTTGCTGCCAGCTCTGTGGGTGTGACGGTGCAAGGGTGTGTGATGGTGGTGGGACCATAGCCAGACCTCCACCGCTCCCTCCAACCGTGGAAGGTCGTGGGGCAGGGAGTGGAGAGCTTTGGGGGCTCTGGCTCCTGTCAGGAGAGTTGGGTGTAGGATTCATATCCCACAGGGGACATTGGCGGGAAATTTGGCAATACAGGGAATAACCTCTCTTTCTACCCCTCTACAGATGTGAGTTGGGTCTCCAGGTTTATGGGCAACAGGGCACCAGCAGCTCTGTATCTGCTGCAATGAGGGAGTCATGGCACAGGGAGTGAGCGGGTCCATCTCTGCCCACCTGCCTCTCTTCACATCTGAGAACAGGAAATACGTTTCTTGCTGTTGGCTCTTGGCTGCGGCTGAATTTCCAGCCGTATGCATTGCGAGGTGAAGGGGTCCTGGAGAGGAAACTCGGAGGGGTGAGAGGCATTGGGGCAGCAGCCTCTACAGGAGCAGTCCCAGCATAGCCACAATGTTGTGTGGTTTTATTATATTAAGTAATTGGTATATAAATTATTAGCTAATAATTAAATAACTAGGATATATTAGTATCTATTCTTGTATTACAGTTGCAGATATTTGACACAAATTAAATGTTATGGAAATGATAACAGATTGTATGTGAATATTGTTACTGTCTAGATCAAGAATCCTACAGGTCCATTTCATTGAGAGAGGTCTTGAATAAGTAGTTTATTTCAGTCAGTTTGCTGTCACAGAAGTCTAACCCCTTATAATCTGAATATTTTCTGAATATATCTGAATATATCTGAATAGTGATATTACTTTCATTCATTTTCATAATATCCAGTTTCTAGATGTTGATATGACACAGAAAATATTTGGATGATGTGGTAACCGGCATGTTATTTTCTGCAAGGTTCTGTAGCCTCTTATACTGGAATCAAGGCTTTGGAATCAGATCATTCATTTTGGAGTTAAATTTTTATGAAACAAAATTATAAAATGACTGTCAGAGCTAGAGTACTCCTAGACACAGATGCACTTTCTGGACTAACACATACTTCGTGCAGATGCTAGTTCACAATTTTCCAGTGCCTGTTATAAATTATCACTTAAAATGAAACTTCAATCCCAAGACCTTATGACTTGTCAAATTGACCTTACAGTACCATAGCTTTCTATTATTATCACTGGAGATCTGATGGAAGCTTGTTCTTTCTGTTTTGGTCACTAGAAGCTATTTCACAGCCTTTCCATCTTTGTAGATAACTCAGTCCTTGTTATTCTAATTCTTGTACAAAAAGTATCGATATCAAAGTTCACTATGTGGTTGCTGCCTCTGGCATCTGAATAGCCACCTTCTCGTTTCATGATTCATAAGAAAACAGAACACTGGGGAGAACAAACCTTTAGCCAGCCAGAAAATGGCTTTGTTAGCCTCCATATTGAGTTTACCTACAGGAAGTTTTATCAGCCTGTTTGTGCATCAGAGATAGTGAGGATACCAAAGATCATCCATTGGCTACAGAGGCATAGAGTTAATATACTCTGGGTTTCCAAATTGCAGTTTATAAACGTGTTTTGGTAAGTATTTTGCAGGTCCTCACATTTTCAGCTCAAAATAGGGGCCACAAAGGAAGTGTGGTAAATCGCCTGCACCCATTTTAGTATTTGATTATTTTTTAGCACTGTACAGCCTGGTGAAATGGAGGGAGGGAGGGAGCTGCTCATTCAGAATGGATTTAAAAGTAGTTCAGGGCTTAAGGGATACTGAGTGGCTGCTGACAATAAAGTGCTAGTTTGCTGAAGAAGGTGAAAGAAATTGTTACGAAAAGATTTGGTGAAAAAATCAATTTCACAAATAAACCAGCAAAATTCTATGTTAAAACATAAGAATGCATGGAAATATAGGGGGAAAACACCCATAATCAGCTGTGGGTCTACTTACATAGTTACAAACCAGGTATGTGTCTTTAGAATACAGCCAGGAGGTTTTTTAAACCCAGTATCTGTTTAGTGGCTTGGGTAAGACCTCTATTGACTGGCACCTACTTATGGCAATGCAGGAGGTCAGTAAAGGAAAATAACTCACCTTCCTAGCCGCCTAAGCATGGATTTAACACAGTCAGATGGGGAAGAGGTAACGGCAACGTGTGACAGATGGTTGGAGCTGGTTTGTCGAAGTGACTGCTCTTTCCGAAATTTGAGTTCCTGGAGGGTGGCCAAGGTCAATCACTACAAGATTAAGGCGCTCTGAGACACTTGGCCATAATGTTTGCTCTTTCAAAGTGAGTCTTTGGAACATGTGAATTTGCTATTCATGAGCGCACAGCGAGTAAGGGGGGAACCAGTCGCTCATCAGCAGTTTGTCACAGGCTGCTGCGCTGCCAGGACTGCGCTGGTGCTGGCATTCAGCAAGCAAGCTAGCCCGAGTGGGAGCACAGGAATGCCAGTTGTAATTCACGTGTCAAGGCCTGCGGTAATCTCCAGTGTAAACTCAGTGCTGCTTTAGTAAAGTCATTGGAGTGGCTGTGGATCTGGAGTCTGGGCTTTAAATACTGCATATAAAACAGGTCGGTGACAGATGCCTGAGCTCTTTCACTCCCTGTCTTTAAACTCAGGATGTCAGTTTTGCATCTCAAGGGACATTAAACCTTCATAATCAAATAGGATATTGATATCCCAAAGGGTATGTGCATTCAAACTAGGTGTGCTGAAAATGATCTTCAGGGCAACTTCTGTGGGAAAATCAAGGCAAGTGGCAAATGCAGTTTTCCTAAAAGAAAACTTGTAGGCTATACGTATACTGAAATAACAATTAGTTCAATAAGACTGCTATCACATTTAAAAAGCGACATAACTATTCATGTCTCTTCCAGATGAGGCATTCTGCTGAATGACAGGTTTGTTCAGAAATGTCTCCTGATTTGTACAGAAAATCAATACCGCTATAGTAAATCACGCCTTAGAAGAGATCTTGTGATACAAGGTACAATGTCAGCATCGATTTCGGTTGAAAGATCAGGATTTCAATACTCTGTAGTATTGTTTTCTGAGATAAAGTTTCCAAAACACCTGGGGATGCATCTGTCAGGGAGCAGCAGGAGTGGGCTGCTCCGCAAAGGGAGGTTAGCCAAGGGTGACAGCAAGGCATACAGAGGCACTAGCCTCATCAGCAAAGGTGCTTCATGAACAAATGGAGCAGGGCTGGTGACAATAACCACGATCAGCCAGTACTGCAGTGATTGCCAGGCAAGTCCGTGGTGGCAAGGCAAGTCCATAGAGACAAGGTAGGTCTGAGGTCAAAACAAGAAATTAAGTCTGTGGGTCAGGGTCTGTATCAGCAAGGCACGTGGCCAGCCACAGGCATACCTGCAACATAGCTCAGGCAAGGACCAGAGCTGAGCATCTGAGCTTCAATGCAGCCCCCAAGCAAAGGTGGGGAGCGCCCAGTGAGCCATTTCTCACACAGTTCTTTTTGCACAAGTCTGATCCGAGGTCCCACAGCTGCACCATATCAGAGCTGGCATGTCTTTTTCTTGAAGATAATGGTAAGCAGCTGTCTATACCTCTCGCTTGTTTACAAGCAGAGCATACTGTTCATTAAAATTTATATTTGGAGACAGTTCCTTTAACAGCGCTTCCTTTAGTAAATCCTTGCCTGTTACGTGTACAATGAAGAAACAGCTTCCATGTAATCTGCCATGTTCCCAGTCAGCTCTTGTGGGAAGGACCGAAGACACAGGCAAGTGTTAAGAAGGGGACAGATCAAGAGTCTAGCCTGAGATGGGAGAGATTCAGAGGTAGGAAATTTGGGTAGGATGGTTCAAAAACAATCTAGGGGAGCAGGAGGACCCGTCTTTGTATGTCTTTGTTCCTCCCCTCATTGGTTTGTCTGGAGCTTCTGCAGTCATGAACTTCGTCAAACCCTGCTGCCTTAGAGATCTCACAATCCTTTCTTCAGTCCACAGCTAATGAACTCTTGGATTTGATTAAATCTTCCTCTTTGTCCTCTCTTTGCCTTCCAGTCTGGGCCCCATGCTTGACTCCCCGCGGTGTCCCTGTGCTTTCTCTCTGAGTGATCGTTTCTGCAAAATTCACTTAAACTACACTTAAACTGAGATCAGCTCTTTTGCTTAGGGTGTCTCCACCCACATTCACTCTTGGTCTGTGTCTCTAGCATCCTCTTTTTAGGGATTTTTTTCAGAGACTTAGGAATCAATTGGTACTTTAATAGAGTTAAAACTGAGCTTTTGATCACTTTCCCCATGCTCTCCTTTTTCCTCTGTTTTTCTGTAATGACAAAACGTCCTTTGTGGGGAAGGTTATACTGGAGCCATTGCAAACTGGTTCCTGGTTGCCATTCCTTATATCTAGTCCCCCTCATGCTAGTTTGAAATACTGTCACCAAGATAATCCACCCTGGAAAAAAAAAAATTATCATGGTGTTTCTCTGGCCTTTTCCTCAGGTCTCGGCCTCTGGACATCTCCCTCTTCCAAAGCAATGGGACAGAATGTCTTTTCTTTTGTGGCAAGATCTGTGTAGGTCAGTTTTGTGTTGGCTGTTTGAAAATGGTGCTTCAGCTGATAGAGAAGCCCTTCAAAAAGTCAAACGTTGTAGCCCATTCATATCCCAGCTTGAAATTCTACCAAGAAACCCAGAAATTATCTACAGGGCCAGTGATACATGTAAACCACAACTGAATGTTAAAGAGCTCAGTTATGCTGAAAGCAGCTGGGCAAGTGCCCATGCCTGTCCCAGGGAACGTGCTGCAGATCTGCTGAACAAAGTCGACATTCTAGAGCATGCAAAGCTCTCTCTGAGATCAGTCAAAGTTTAAAGGCAGAATATAAAACAGAGGATTTGCAGCTCAAGAACGTGACTGCCTGAAACCAGAGAGTATTCACTCACACTCATTCTCCTATCGATGTCATTCATTCACCCACAAACCCATATATTCTAAAACACCAAGATGTGTGTGCCCAGGTGGTATGTCCAGGATCACTTGGGTGCAACGCAGAGAGCATGCTGCTGCTGTCAAGTCTTCATCATGTCTGAGGTTCTTTCTGATTGGTAATAGCAAGCTAGTTTTTGGACAGATCTTCTGTGCCCTTTAGCAGTCACAAGCTGTAACATGTTGGTCCTTTGCGACAGTCTTCCTGACTTCAGCTTCCAAAAACACTTGTTGCTGCTCATTGTTCTGCACCAATTCTTCCAAAGGTGCTGTCTGTATTGAGCTTCCTCTGTCCTTTACAGAGCTCTTCTGTGCGAGCAGAACTAGGCGCATGACATCCTCATTGACAAATACCCACGCTCCACCCTAATCCAGGGCTGAGAGGACTTCCCTGCAATTTTCTGGTTGCCAGAGGATGTGGCAGCATTGGATATAGTACTACAGAAGGTGTAAAGGATACAGTAGAGCAGACTGGGATGCTTGCTCCTCCTGTTACTCTTGTATCCTCTCTTCAGGCAGCCAGGTGCCCTGGAGAAGAAGTAACCCCACTTGCAAGCATAAGAGTGTAGAACAAGGGCAGAAGCCCATGTGAGGGCGCTTACAGGAACATGGAGAGATCAAAAGGAAGGCAGAGCTGAAAAAGGACGCAGAAAAATATGAGAAGAAAGAATGGTGATGGGGACAGATATCAGAATTGGACGGATAAAGATCATAATTTGGGAATGGGGGGAGGACAGGCCGAAAGAAAATATCCACTTGAAATCATTTCCTTCCAGGACCTAAAACTGTCCTTCAAATGCCTAAGGCTCTGCTGTCTAGCATGTGTCCCAGTTGCCTCTTATGGCCGGTCTACTTGGGGATAATAGCATGTCTTTGCTAACAAGTACTTCATTTCCTCAGGGGTGGTAATCTAAGGTAGATGAGAGCAGCTGTTCCAGGCTCAGACTGAAGGTCCGTCTTGCCCATTATCCAGTCTCTGACATGTATGGAAACTTTCCTTATATTTCATCACCCTTGCCACCATCCTCTCAACTTTCTCTAGTTCTACTGTGTCCTTTCAGAGATAAGAGAAACTGAATTGTGCACCTGCGTTTTCTCTGGGTTTTTTTTCCTTTTTTTCCCCTCTATTTTTTTTTGCTATTTTTTTAATGCTTTCCTAGAAATTCCTTGTATATTATTTGCTGGTTTGGCCCATAGTGAGGACTGAGTTGATATTTTCATGGAACTTGTGATCATTAGCCCAAGATCTCTCTTCTGAGTGGCAGCGATCAGTGCAAAGTCCATTATGCTGTGTGGGAAGGATTTTTGTGTGCAGAATTGTTTCTTTCCATAGTCATCGCTCTTTTCTTACAAGCCTGACTGAATGGATTGTAAAATGGCAGGCAACATTCAATGCAGTTGAATTTCATTATGTTGTCATTTGCATTGTTTTAAGAGAATTTCCTATATACAGCCTTAATTTTCTTTTACTTTTTTTAAGCAAATCAAGAGTTCAGAAAGTCAGGAACCATGATTTATCCTTATTACATGTTCATTTTGACACAAATATTGTAGTGTGTTGCGTGTGACATTTTCTTGCAGGGATCTGCCTGATTCAACTCTGATCATAGCAACAAAGGTGTGGGCAGTTTCATTAATTAACATTAATTGTTTTTCTTTTCTTTGAGGGGCAAATGTTCACATGACTGACCCAAGCCGAGGACTGACTTCATGGGAATGGGCTTGTTACACAGGAAGGTCAGAATCTGCCTTCATCATGCAAAAGCTGATGGACAGGCCATGCCCGGAACAGCTTTGTGATCAGTATAAACCAGAATGGCCAAAGATGAAGGAACTTCTTGCCAAAGCTGCAGAGCCAAAAAGCTGTTTGCAGAGGATTTCTGAGTGCATGAGGGCAGCTCTCTCATTCCGGTCTTTCTATGGCCCAGAAGAAGACGGGGTCCTTGATCACATGGTGAAGGTGACAACAAGCTTGAGCAGTCCTTTCATTGCTCTGTCATGCCGGACTGTGTGCCCAGGCAGCCCGCCTTCTGTGGGAAAACGCAGACTGGCTGTGCAAGAAATCCTTAGGAAGCAGAGAGCCGAGGAGATCCGATCTCAGGACAAAGACCACTTTAGCAGCTACGAGAAGCTATTTCAGAACTCCAAAGTCACGCTCATCCCCAAGAAGAAGGAGCGGCGAGCCAGCCTGCAGCCCATCAGCCTTGCAGTTTCTCAAGTGAACACCTTAGCCACTAGGAAAGTAAGCCTCTTGCCGCTCCACCTGCTTAGACGGAGTAGCGTCAGGCCGGGATTTGTCATCCCCAAAGTCCGTATCAGCAAGGCTCCCCCACCCACCTTCCAGCCAGAAAAGGTGAGAAGGACGAGCAGTACAAAGGACGACCCCTATTTGCAGATTCCCAAATGGAGATACAAGGAGCTAAAAGAGGAGCGGAAGAAGGCAGAGGAACAGGAGAAGAAAAAAGCAGCAGAGGCTCAAAAGCAGAGGCAGGTGTCTCCTGCCAGATGCAGGACCTGATTTAAAGGCAGTTGCTTAGAAGGTTTTAGAGCTGTTAGTCTTGTTATCCGAGCAGGATAACAGACTGCATGCTTTCATGCATACCCACTGCTCACACAGCTGGAATACTGAATAACGGCCTTTAAGGTGCAGAAACAGGGCAAGGGCTATGCCACAGTGTGTCTGATGGTGGAGCGTGAAGGTATTTTGAGGTGGAAGACTTACTAAGTTTATCTGTCTGCTGTTGATAGGAAGTTTTAAGTGGTGCAGTCCTTTTGTGGTTTCTTTTTTTTCCAGTTCCAGGTTGAGGAGCTGACTGAGAAACAGCTTGGAAAACAACGTCTGTGTGAAAGGATCGTATTTTGTGTTTGTTCATTTTGTAATGGACAACATTAAGGAGTTGTGCTTTTGACACTAGACATTCCTCCCTCTCCTTGCTTAGGTAGACGTATTGCAAGGTTTTATAGTAATAATGAAAAGTTTAAAACATACCACAGTGTTGGTGGGCAGTGAAAATCCAGGTCTACAATTGTTTTGAATATACTAAGCACTTTGTTTTAATTCCAGTAATCAAAGTTTAAGACAGGATAGGTATTAAACTGTGCAGCTCTATACAGTCTGTATGGATGCAGTTCTTAATGCTGTTGTTTGTTCTGTTGAATATAAAAAGGGCTGCATATGAAATATTTCTGTAGTTGAGGTATTCACATCCTCTGCAGGTATAAATCAGGGGCAGGGACTGATTTCTTTGGAGCAACAGAGAAGCTGAGCTAATTTTTGAATGCCACCGTCACCTAAGCTTTGCCTCCCCCATTAAGTTTCCCTGTATCCGCTATCTGTTGTCTCCTCTTTAGTCTCAGGGAATTTTTTGTCATTGTGTTTAACTGTGAAATAAGGGAGATGGTGAGCCACAGGTGGGCTTTTTTTTAGGTTGATATTTAAGTTCCTGTTAAAAAACCCCACCAGGTTTATTATGAGCCTTTCCATATTATAGCCAGGACAGGAAAATTATGCAGCTTCCAGAAGTTTAAGCAATTTTCCCAGGTATCAAGTCCAGCCATATGCTATGAACATCCAGTCAGAGATGCAGTATCAGGCAGCTCGGCCACTAATGTTTGGAAACCGTGGCCAGATGTCATTGTGAGCTGTAGTAGTACGCCTCTGGGTGCCCAGAGAGGGCAGTACCTCGCCCCTCTGTCTCAGCACTGGGAGAAAACCTTTCCTAGTACATGAGTGCATCTCAAAGTGGCAGTTCCCACAGGTTGCTGCAGGTTCTTGTGGTTCATGTTAAGGCTTTATTTGGTTTTACCAGCAGTGCGTCTGAATGGCATGCCAAACCCTGGCAAATTCCGATAAGGAAGGGCTGTAAACCTGCGGCTCGCTGAAGAAGGACCGCATTCATAAATAGAGGTCAAACGCCAACAGCAAGTCATACAGTACATGCCCCGGCTATGTTTTTGCTCAGGCTTTGCTCCCATTTGAAATGAAATGTGCTGTGGTGTGTCCTCCTGATGGTGTTGCTTTGCTGGAGCCCAGGCAGACCCCAGCTGCTGCTGTCACCAGCTTCTCCCTTCAATTAAAGAGAGGGAGAACTTTTCCATCCTTTACTCCCACAGCACAAAGGCTGACCACGGTCTCACTGAACTTGTAATGAAACCATGCGTGTCATGAGAGAAATAAATTCATTTGATTGAAAACTAGCGCCCAGATTGGTATTGCTAGCTAGCGTCTGCGGGGTCAGGGCTTGACAGAGGTTATGGCAGATGTGCGAAACAAGGATTTTTCCACCACAGCCTGTTCTTTGTACCTCTTGCTGGAGTGCTGTGCTGGCTAAACTGCATTGCCAGGTAGCCTCCCAGGTCAGAGCTGGAGGAATATGCACCCTGCTAATAAACCTCCCCAGCCCTGTGAATATAAAGAGGATTTTAGTCTGCAAGTGCCTCAGTGCTGTGCAATTCATAGGCACCAATTTTGTAATGGATTTGCTGTGACCAGAATATAAGCTGAACTCATTTGTTTGGAGAGTAGGAAGACAATCTTTTGGCTGTCTGTAGCAAAAATATCAGGATGGATTTTGAACTGGTACACTGGATTGAATGGTTTAACTATTAATTTTTCTTTACTGCCAGCCCAGTGTATTGAAGATTTAGATTCAGATTCAGTATCTGAAAAGCAACCTGTGCTGCGGCTGAACACTTGAACTTGCACTCTCAGTATCACTTGCAGGAGACATACAATTGACAGGTGCTCTCAGGGGTTAACGTGCAGTATGTTAGAATTAGGGGCTGAAAATGAAGCCTGTTTTCTAACCCTTGGTACTTTACTGTGTATATGTGTATAAATATGTGATATTTCCATTAAAAGAGGCACAAGCTGTTAAACTTATTTGGCGACGTTATTCTTCAGGGCGGTTTGGGGATGCTGTTTTTCACTTTTCAGTAGATAAAAAAGGCCACCCACTTTCACCAATGGACTAATCAGCACCATCTGAAAGCAGTTTGGTTTCCCTGGAAGGAGCTATTGTGGGTTAACTTCTACTCCTTGTGAATTTTTCCCTACAAGTAAAAGAAAACCACTACATTTGTCCCAACATCGGGCTTTGGCTGGCCATCTCGGTGGAGAGAGAAGCCGTTGCCTCCATGACCCGCAGCCACATTGCTCTGCTGCAAGCAGGCAGTCCCCTGGCATCCTTATGGACAGCGTGGCTCCATTTTGTGCATCTGTGTAAATCTTTGCACTTGCTAGGTTGGGAAGTGCAGGCATAGGTCTCTGTCTCCTCATTGCCTTCCTCCCCTGCTGCCTCACTGCCCCCCCAGGCACCTTACTCCTCCTCTTCATCACCGTCCTCACCCAAAGTGCTGCACCTCTTGCTTGCTTTTTTTATTGTCTGTCTGAAGCGTCTGAAGATTGCAGTGGGCAAAGCTCCCGCCAAACATGCTTCTGGAAACCTGTGGCAAATGGACTGTAGCAGGGGAGGAGTCATGCCTGGCTCTCCTCCAGCCTTCCGTCCCCCTTGAGCTGCTGCCCATGCAGCAGAGGAGGATTTGATTTCTGTTGGATTTCAGCACAAATAGAGTGGTTTGTTTTGTGTTTTGTTTGGGTTTTTTTCCCTAGAGACCTGTAACTATGAAAGGCCAAGCGATACCGGCTGTACTTCAGATCACTCCTGGTTGCTCAAGGAGGACGATATACCTCCTAAGAAACGCACGCCCTTGGCAGCACCTCCTGGCAACTGGAGCCCCTGAGGGAACGCAGAGGCGCTGCTGCAGGAGGATGCTCCCACAGAAGGGAAGGGGACACTGATTCGTAGGGCGGAGGAAGGTTTTCTACCTGCCTTCGATGCCAGGCTGCAGTCTGGCATGTTAGTGGGAACGACGCTCCTGAGCGTTGTGAGTGAAACTGGAGCATGGGCTGTGCCTGCTTCCATGGCCATTGATTGTCTCGGTACACTGCGAGCTTTGGTGTGACAGCCAGCCTCTCACCATCTGATGCTCGCTCACTGGGAAGCACCCAGCCCGATGGGTTACTTCTGCAGTAAGCAACAGGGATTTAACATAATGATGGTGGAAAGTGAAATCCCAAGCGCTTCCTGACATTCTCTAAAATGATACTGTGCTTTCATCTCTGGAGAGCAGTGGTGTTGCAAGGAAGAGACCACTGACCCCATGGAAGGTTTTTCAGGTGGGAACACAGAATTACATGTAATGTATTTCATTGTGACATGTGTCACTATGTATTACTCATTTGGGTTTTTTTACGCCAATGAAAACTGTTCCTTAAGCCTTGACAAAAATCCTCACTGAGGCTCTTCATTGAATGCCTTTTTCTTAATAGTCCTGAATGCTTGTGCTGTCCTGCTAAGCGACAGATATTAAAGCAGCTGGTAAAAAACCACCTTGAGTAGGAATGCCTTTCTTAATAGTCCTGAATGCTTGTGCTGTCCTGCTAAGCGACAGATATTAAAGCAGCTGGTAAAAAACCACCTTGAGTAGAAAAATGGCATACAGATACACAACATTCTTTGAGGGTATTTCTTTTTTAAACATCTACATTTCAGCAGGAAACTTCCAAAAGCTGTGACTGAAATTAGGACCCAATATGCAGCATATGCCAATTTGCAGATGGTCTGAATGGAACACTTTTCTCTTTTTCTGTAATTCATGCGATGCAGCCTGGTTTGGCTAGGTCTGCTCATTGTGCCTCACAACACTCCAGAGTTCGGTTAGACACCAGGAGGCTGCAAGTGGGGAACAAGCCGGAAAGGGCCGTCACATCCCTCTCTCCTGCCCATGCATTCCTGCTTGTCCGCAGCAAACCTGTCATTTTGCTGGATTAGTATTCTGCCAATTTAATGAGCTAAACAAAATCCCTGGAGCCAGTGCAGGGGAGCAGGGAAGGGCAGGGGTGAGACGGTTCTCACTCAGAGCCAGCGAGCTGCCAGGTGGCTCAGCCAGTGCTCCAGGCTGTGCCCAAAGCGGCGAGGAAGAGCTCCCCGGCACAGGTTAGGCAGCTCCAGAAAACATCTAGCTGTGTGACACACAGAGGTGACACCCTCTTACAGGTATTTGTGTCTCTTCGGAACCCAAAGGAAAGGGGCTTGGACTGGTTTGCAGATGTTCAGGAAAATTACAGCCACCCCCCCTCCTTTGAGCCCTCTTTGGAAAGATTAAATGAGCACCAGCAACAGAGCTGCTCAGTGACTTCAGCCATAAAGTAGGGCAGAAAGATTTGGACGAAATGGGAATTATCCTCACATTTTTCTTCCTTTTAAATCATCATGGGTAGAATTACAAACCCATACAGTCATTTGGTTCATTTAAAGAGCTTCTTCATTACTTAGATAATTACTCACCCAGAGAGTGTATTCAGCAGAGAAAGCAGCTGAGCAGCCAGCCTGCCATCTTCTCGAGGCAAGGAAAAACTGGACTGACAGTTTGACAGACTGTCCATAGGGTAAATTTTGCAACTAAATCTTTGAATTCCAAGTCACTGAAAACTGCTAAACTAACGTTATCAGAGAT